TAGAGTTAATTTTTACTATAAAAATTTACTTCCTTTATTTCATAGTAATAAACATTTTTTAATTTTATTTTTCGATTAGGGATTTGAGAATAATTTTTATTTTTACATATTTTTCTCATAAAAAAGAAAATTAAAATAGAAATAAAGAGATTTTTTTTATTATAGAATACATAATAAAATTAAAAAAATCATAATGTTAAAATAAAAAAATATTTGTCGCCTTTAAAATACCATTATAATAAAAAAATAACTATCATTTTAAGATAAAATTTATATAAAAAACATACAATTCTTATAATTAATAAAATTTTAGAAAAAAAAAAAAAAAACGAACGAACTAATTGCGGAATTGCGAATTAAGGTCTAGGTAAGTTTAAATTCTTTTAGCATGTATAATTTGAAGTTATCTAAATGTCATATGGGAAAAGGCAAAACATGGGTAATTAACATGTTCAAGCTCTCTTATAATTTTTTAACAACGAATCATGCAAAAAAATCCCTACCTGTCGTCTAATGGCACCCTTAACCTAAATTAGAAGAAAGCAACCTCTTAAACTTTTCGATGGTGACAAAAAACCTCGACGGAATCTGTCTAAAACTAACGGTGATTTGAATTTTGTGGGATCCATGAGCGAGCTAGCCATTGTCTCTATTACAGTATATTACTCCTACTGGCATGTCATATTTTTTGGGAAAAAAAAGAAAAGAAAGAAAGATTAAAAAGGAAATCTGTAACATCATACTTTCTAAATTATACTTATTCATCTCTCAAATTTACAAATAGCCTACCATGTCCATTGCTTTTTGTTCCTTCCCCCCCTGCAACTACAACCCATTCTCCTTTCTCCTCTGCAAGTGTAACCCATTGCTTTACAAATATGTTAATGAGATTCTATGGAAGATTTGGCTAATTAAGCTAATCCTAACCTTCTTTATCTTTTCCATCTCTAAGAAGTTCAAGAATTTCTTAAATGGAAAATTTTACAAATGTTATATGGCCCTTGTTAGATATAAACCCAAAAATATAGTATTAATAAAACATGAAGCACCAGGATGGGTGGGGGACTACACACTTAAGGATAAATTCAGTAGACTATTTAGGCTATCAAAGAATAAGGATGCAATAATATCTGACATGGATAGTGGAAAAATGGCGAATGGTGCTAGCACTGGAGCTGGAGAAGAAACCTTTTTGCTTGGGAAAATGCTCTTTTGCAGGAATTAAAAGTGATGCTGCAAGCGAGACAAACCGATCGCTAGGTCTGGCAACATGACTTGAAAAGGAAATATTCCATGAAATCAGCATACAAGATGTTACAAGCCAATCTTATTCCAGGAAAGATTGACAATTTTAAGCTGATATGAAACAAATGGGTACCTCTAAAAGTCGCAGCTTTTGTTCGGAAAGCACTTCAAGACAGAATCCCAACTAAGGAAAATTTGCTAAAGAGAAAGATAAGAGGCATGGAGGAAAACAGGTCCTGCACTTTCTATGGACAGCTTGTTGAATACACAAATCATCTTCTTTTCACCTGTAAAGTGGCATGGCAGATTTGGTCTGCGTGTTATAGCTAGGGGGGGGGGGGGCATTACCGTGGTCCAGCAGGATGATGGTTGGAAGCATTTACAACAACATGAAGGTCTACTGTTAAGTGGGAATTCAAGACAAGCATGGTGAGTCATTTGGTTCGCAACTATCTGGGATCTCTGGACATGGCGGAATCAAAAGGTATTCAACGAAAAATCTGACACACAAGATAAAATTATAGAGATGATTAAATTTAAATCTTTGCTGTGGCTGAAAGCTTGTTTTTGGCCGAATCTACAAAAGGATGTTTGGCTTCTTTCCCCTGATCAAGCTATTAGGATGGCTAGAAGGTGCTTGTGATAGGCCAATTATTTCACATTTTGGATTAATTCATATGGCTTAGTTTATTAGGGGGAGACTAAACTAATAGTATTGAGATATGTAGTTTTATGCTTATATTTATGGATTGAAGTACTCTTTGTACTTTTTATTA